GAGGCATGGAACATATGTACCAAATATGCCAAAGATGTCTACAAAATTATCTCAGTTATTATTAAAAAACTGATTATTTTTGAAAACTTTGCCACCCTGTATCTCAAAAGTTAAGGCGTTTAGGACATACGTCCATAGGACGTTTTTTCCTTAAAATGGGTCTAAGAATTACCTCCTTGAATATCAGCATGTGTTTAAGGAACACCCTGTATAGAATAGTACTGATATACAATGTCACTTACATGGAACAGTATCATGCTCAATGGTGTACTTAGAAGTTTCGGGACAAGACACCTGTCTTACCACCTCATCAGCACCGTTTCGGATAATATCACAATGACGTTACGTATAATTTAATGCTCATGGGAAAGTAGCTTTTACCTGAGCCTTTTTTCTTGCAGTTTGTATCTTTGGAGTTTATTTTGGAATTAATTTCTTTCATTTGAAGATGGCAAAAAAAAGCTAATGGTTTTTTTCTCAAAAACTAGTCTTTTTTTAAAACATTTTTCCTTTTAAATTTATACTGGAAATTTATGGAATAAACGGTTTCCTGAATAGAAACCAATATGACGAAATGAAGTATGTTTCATTTTATCAAGTTTCAAGGATATTCCTAGTATTCCACTTATAACAATATTCGACCACGTTATCAAGTCAAGAAAGTTATGCGAGACAATATAAATCAATTTTTATTAGAGATGTTAACTTCTATGGGATTGTACCGAAGCGACTTGCTACAGTATTCCAATATCCGTGGGGTTGTTGTAACTTCGGTTTGAACTTTGACGCTTGTTAACATAAATTAATTTGAGTGAAAAGTTAAATCTGAAGCTGACTTTCTCAGAAAGTTTGTAACCTGGAAGGGCATTGACGCATTTGATGCTTATAAATAGACATTTCAGAGAGCACTTAACTCCACGTATAATCCTGAATAGATTCAGTGCAAGCTCCTTCAGGGAATTTAAACGTAATGTACAATCTGAATATGAAATGGGTCAGAGGAAGTGCTGAGAGAAATGTCAGACTATGATAATGATGTTTATTGAATCCTTCAGAATCACAAAAATGACACAGTTTACGTCACATAGGAAATAAAATACATACATATATGTATGTATTATCAGAACATGTTAATGATAAGGACCATAAAATTGATTACAACAACTCCATTATCCTTTGTACAGAATCGAACCAATTGAAAAAAGTTTTTCTGGAAAGAATAAAAGAACTGATTTGAACAATCTCAGTCAAATATAAACTTACATTCTTAAATGTCAAAAAGAAACAAAAATCACTTTTTATCAAAATTTTCCCCCTTAAAATTATTGTCACTGTCAGTCACTTCCATCAAAAAAAGAAATGTTTCATGTTTTGTAGAGATATTTATTTTCTTTCTCAATCTCACGTTAGTAAGTAGTTCCGTTTGGGATATAAAACATATTGTTGATGAATATATTACAGTTGTTCTGAGGAAGTGGTAAGCACCACCGAAAGCTTGACAAAAACACAGAGTTTCCTTCGAATAGCCCTCAAAACCTGACTGTAACTCCAAAATACTGTTCTTCATATAATATATCCAGTCACGAATTATCCTGAATATGTATAGATATATAAGATGTTATTGAGTGTGTATGATATAAATCAACGTTTTTTTGGGTATTGGCCTCATCAGCGCGGTGCAGCCAATTGCTGAGGTGGACAACAACTGGTTACCAAAAATGAAAAAATTTCACATATGCATATGCACCAACAGGAGGTAACCGCACATTTGTGGTTTTAATTAGAAGACCTAGCATTCTCAAGCATCATCTAACATCACCACGTAGGCAGCTATAGCTACCTGCGTGACTTCCGGGTTCAGAATATAAATACAGAGATATAAATATTAACGAGTGTGTATGATATAACAAATTCTATAT